CCCACAAACCATTTCATACCCCTCAAATGCTACACTGCAAGTCAAAACATCATAGGACATTCTATTCCTCTTCTCATAAGCTACTACAAAGCTTGCTTCTTAACCGTGCCTATAGGCTCAAAATCATTAGGCACCACACTTTACCCCTTCGAATCCACTAGGGCTGTTGTTGAGAGCCACCCGCTCTGACTTGGCCCCGAATATAATCAACTCCATGAATCTTCTAGCACATGAATACCCTCTCAACGAAGCACCCGGCAGAATCACTTCACTTGAAACCCGCACTTATACAAGGTATAAATCGTGAATCCTTCCCCAAGTCTGAACATGAGCCAATAAGGCCACCCATAACACACATTTAACAATCCCTTTTCTCAAATTACCACTTATGTCCTTTTCCTGTAGCTGAAATAACCCATCAATATGCTAATAACCAGAAACCTCGCAAGTAGTTAACCATGTAATCCAATCATAGGCAGTGGGACTCTCCCACTTAGCTTGAAGCCACTATTACACACCTCTGGAATTCACCAAGATTATTTATCTCTTATTGACATGACCTCGCGCAATTAAACTGCCAGATTCCTTGAAATCCTTCCATTAGTACTTCATGAACACCCTGAATTTCCATCAACATTCACATATTCGACCTCTTACCGGAATGGCCCGTAAAATCCTTCGCAGAAGCTTCGCCAACCATGCGACCACTAACCCGCTCACAGGGAATAACCCACCTGTGGAAATCACTTTCCGACATCTTCCAATGTTGTTGCACGAGGTACAATCACTATAACATCAATAACCCATCTTGAGTCCGAGCTCACTCTCTAGTTGCACAAGTACATTCACCCCTCGTCGACATCAATTGAATGTGCGACAACATCCTTCCAATTCAAAGTTATGTTGTATCGTTCTTCATTTTAAGCAGCTCCCTTCCGTTATATCAAATCTCCTGCCGCATAATAGCTCATACTTCAAATTAAATCCATAGACCCCAATCACCAATCACCAAAATTCCCAAATCATTCCAAACTCTCCTTAAGGTGCATAGTCATCCTACCACAAAGCCCATATGCAATTTTGCCACTCTCCCACTCCGGCGGAACTCACCCCCTTTAATCAACTACTCGACCTTTGCCTCTTATACCTGGCCTTCTAGAAATTTTGACCACCGCTTGACACTCCCCACATGTCCTTCCTTATCCTTTGCTGCTCAGTTGTTGCCTTAAATAAAATCTATCTTTGTAGCGCTTGAACCCACGAACCACTACTAACTTTAAATATCCCCAAGATCATATTTCTTGGGCCATCAACACTAGATATACCAATTCAATCCTAAACCACCGCACATCGCAATCTCTGATAGTTGCCTCTCTATATTATTTCACAATATCCCGCCCCAAAGGCGAATTGAAGAAAACCATAACACCGACGATCTCAACATATTCAATCGAGGACGACGATACATTGTCACAGATGAAAATTCCACCACGCTCGAAAATACCAAGTCTCGTTACTCCATCAAACCAAACTTGAACGTCTATAGGCCAATCGCTTCTCCTCCACCGGAAATGAAATATCAGATCTCAGAATCGTGCACTGAATAGAGTTCCTTTCAATTCATTCTCTGCCCTAACACATAGGCAAGTATCCTACCATTAAGTCAATACTGTGCGATAACCAATCATGAGCATCATAGCAACCTGTGCATAATCTCAAAACTCTCAGGAATACTGTTACTGAGCTGAAATGACAAGATATCCTCCCGCAAGGCAACGACAATAGCCCAATCAACAATACTGGGAGAAACATCCCGCACCACATCTGTAGTGCCATTACAATCCTTCAATTCTCGATTTATAACCAGCTGTTCGTGTCATGTAAGATTGAGTAGGAAGGAAATAAGGGCATAAGCCTCAAGGAATCAAATCACACGATGAGGAATCAAGAAGAGAAGTACTCCTAATAGCCCTGTAGCCTCCCGAAGATATGTACAGATATCTCCGTACCGATCCGCGAGACTATACTAGACTTGCTCATGACTCGTGAGACCTAAGAGAACCTAGTGCTCTAATACCATATTGTCATGACCCAAAATCCTCTAAGGGTCGTGATAGCACCGGACATCGCTGTCAGGCAAGCCAACCATAAATACTTAATTAACTTTTCATTTAAACAATTGTGAAAAACTCTGATTTTTCTTCAATTTTTACTAGTAAAAGATACTCAGTTCAAATTAAATATACATGTCAAGAGTCAATACAAAATACCTCATAACTATCCTAGAACCCGGTGTCACAAGTGCATGAGCTATTTCTAGGAAGCAATACAATACAACAATTGTCCGAAATACAAATTGGACAGAAAATAAATACAATAATCTGGAAGAGACTCTGCTGGTTGCGCGTCATCTCGAGAAGTGCAACTCACCTAAGTCTCCGTATCAACCATGCCGCTATGCCCGCCAGCCCACTAGTGATGCTTGTGTCTGTGCAACAAAAATGCACAACAAGTGTAGTATGAGTACGAAAACAATGTGTACCCAATGAGTATCCTGTCTAATCTCGAAGAAGTAGAGACGAGAGGAAACTTTGACACTTAATAGTGGTCCAATAATGATACATCCGTAATATAATGAATCGAGGATTTATATAAACAGGATTTGTAATTCAATAAGGTGAAACATGTAAACAATTCCTTCTTTTATGTGAAATTTCCAAATTTCCTTTTTCATCATTTATACACATATTCTCAAGCCGGGAAGGGGCAATAATTCACTAAGTTTCAAGGCAAGCAATACAAGCATGCGCAAATCATGCCGAGGTCGTACGACCCGACCTAACAATTATTTAAAATGTGCACTGCTAGAGGGTCGAATGGCGCGGACCCTAGATGCATCTATTTAATCTGCCGAGGCGTTCGGCCCGTTCCAGAATTTAAACAAGCACAGACAATCAATTAAGAAGTCATCAAGAAACAATTATCCAAAGAAAACCAATTCTCTTTTAACAATTTAGAAAAAATGAAGTTTAATTCTTTTTAGAAATCCATTTACCAATTCGATAGGATTTAAGCAATCAACTATCAATAAGGTTACATTTATTCAAAGTATAGCATGCTTTTGGGTCCTAGACTATGCGGACAATAGCATAATAGTAGCTACGCACGGACTCTCGTCACCTCGTACGTACGTAACCCCCAAAAATAGGAGAATATAACCAATTATTTCACCTATCGGGACAATCCCCTCTTACAAGGTTAGAAAGGAGACTCATCTCGCCCCGAAGATCCATAACCGGCATACCACGCTCTTCCGAAGATTTGAATCGATGCACAATGCTCCAAAACTAGCCAATACATGCTCAAAAGTTCATATTCTAATTATTAAACCAATTTCCCATCCGTAAATGCAAGGTTCCTAAAATTTATCCTCGGACCCATGTGCCCGGATTCCGAAATTTTCCGAAGGAAGTTGTTCTCTATAACCTAAGGATCAATAATATATATAATTTCTAATCCATTTCATAACCAATTTCGTGGTAAAATCTATGTTTTATTAAAACCCTAGGTCTAGCTGTAACCCCTTGATTTCTCCAAATCTTTAGGTGTTAATCTACCCAAAACTCAAGTGTTAAACTTAGAAATAAGGGGGATGAACTTACCTCACGATGCTATATCGAAATCCCTTCTCAAAAGTTCCAAAATCGCTCAATACCCGAGTGCCAATGGTAAAAAATGGCTGGAGCTTGATTTAAATGAAGCTGGCTGCTTTAGCAATTTCTGCATTTGCGATCCTACATCTGCGAAGGGAGGTCGCATCTGCAGAATTGGCTATAAGGGTTGGGACCACTTCTGCGGTCTTGAAGCTGCATCTGCGAAGCCGCTTCTGCAGCTAAGGAGCCGCTTCTGCGGTTTGTCCTGGCCAGCTCTGGGCTGCATCTGCGAGGCTACGATCGCTTCTGCGGTCTCGCACCTGCGGTCGACCAACCGTAGGTGCGGTTATAGTAGAATGAAATGCTTCAGCACTTCTCCAAATTCCATTTTCGTTCCGTTAACCACTCGGAATCCACCAGAGGCCCCCAGGACCCCAACCAATCATACAAACCAGTCCCAAAACACATTACGGACTTGCTCGAGACCTCAAATCATATCAAACCACGCTAAAACCATGAATCGACCTCCAATCCAAGCTTTATGAACCTTAGAATTTCAAACTTCTACTTTCGATGTTTAAACCTATCAAATCATGTCCGATTGACTTCAAATTTTGCACACAAGTCGTATTCGATATTACGGACCTACTCCAACTTCCGAAATTGGATTCCTACCACGATATCAAAAAGTCCACTTCCGGTCAAACTTCTCAACAACCTTCAAATTTCTATCTTTAGCCAAATGACTTCAAAATGACCTATGGACCTCTAAATTCACTTCCGATCGCGCTCCCAACTCCAGAATCACTATATAGAGTAATTCCCAGACTCGGAATCCTAAACAGACATCGATAACACTGAACTGCACTTCAACCCAAACTTATGAAATTCCTTCAAAAATGCTAACTTCAACAATAGGTGCCGAAATGTTCCCGGTCTTCCAAAACCTGATCCGGACATACGCCCAAGTCTGAAATCATCATACAAATTGCTGGATCCTTCAAATCCCAATTCCGAGGTCGTTTACTCAAAAATCCAACCTTAGTCAGTTCTTTCAACTTAAAGCTTCCGAAATGAGAATTCTCTTTCCAAATCAACTCCGAACTTCCCGAAATTCAATTTAGACCGTGCACGCAAGCATAATACCTGAATTGAAGCTGCTCATGGCCTCAAACTGCTGAACGACGCGCTAGAGCTCAAAATGACCGGTCGGGTAGTTACACCGAGGGCCTCGGGATGGATTTGGGTGGTTGACGGAAAGTTTGGCTTTGCATTGTTGCTGCTGATTTTTGCTGCTTCTATTATTTCTGCACCTGCGGAATGGGGACCGTAGGTGCGAGGTCGCAGATGCGGTATGGAGATCGCATGTGCATGTTTTGTCCATTAGGAGAGGAACAACAAATGCGGTTATTTGGATGCATCTACGACATCGTAGGTACGGTGACTAGGCGCAGATGCGGTCCTGGAACTTTACGTGACTTTTTGCAGGTGCACACCTGGGACCGCAGGTGCAAAGAATTGTTCACAGGTGCGGAATTTTTGGAGCAGAAAGTATAAATTGACCCCTTTGCGAATATTTGCCCATTTCCACCATTTTTGAAGTCAGGGTTGAAGCTTTTGAGGGATTTTGAAGAGGGATTCGAGGGGAAACACGTTGAGGTAATGTTTTTGAACCTAAATCTCGATTCTATGGTGTTTTTGAGTTGGTTAAGCATGAAATTTGTGAAATTTAAGGGTGAAAATTGGGGAATTAGGGCTTAGAACTTGAGAGTTAAAATTGGGGCGATTAAGGGGTCAACAAAGTTAGATTTTGGAAAATTTGGTATGTGTGGACTCGTGAGAGGATAAGGATTCTGGTTTTATGATTTTTGTCGGATTCCGAGGCATGGGCCCGAAGGTCGGGTTTGGCCAATTTCGGGATTTTTGATTTAATTTGATAAGTTTCGCAGGGGCTTTGTTCCTTTAGCGTGTTTTAATAATGTAATATTGATTTTTAATAGATTCGAGACGATTTGCGGCCGAGTCGAGAGGCAAGGGCGTCGCGAGTTAGAGTTTGTCCGGTTTGAGGTAAGTAATGATTGAAAATGTTGTTCTGAGGGTATGAAATCCCGGATTTCACATTGTTTCACTAAGGTGACACACATACTAGATGACGAGTGTAAAGGTGTGCACCATTGGAAATTGTGACTTGGTCCGTTCCGTAGCGACTATTAAGTTGTGTATTTGACTGAAAACTACTTGATACTATTATACTTTAGAGAGTATTACTATGTTTTGGGCTGAATGCCATATTTGGGCCTCGTGCCAACTGGTTGCACCTTTAAGGGTTTTTTTTACTACTATTCCTTATTGTTTTGATTTAATATCTGTACTCAGTCATGCTATGTTTTACTGATTTCATAACTCAGTCTTATTTACTCTGATTTGATGCATAAATGATATTTTGGGCTGAGCACCCTGTTTTACTGTTAGCCCGAGTGGCTTGAGAGGTTTCTAACTGAGTAAGGCCTAGGGCCTGTGTTGTGAGGATATCATGGGATCGGGCTGCGCCACAACATGTTGTACTGTTTTGTGATATATGAGAGGCCGATGGCCTGATTTATTATGCCACAAAATGGATTGTGATAGTGTTTGGGCTGTAGGAGCCCCTTCGGAGTCTATACACCCCCAATGAGCACAGGTACCTTGAGTAAGTAATATGATGTTGTCCGAGGGGCTGTTCTTGATTTATGTTGTGCTCGAGGGGCTAATTACGAGTGATTGTGAGGTTGCCCGATGGGCTGGTTCTGATTGATATTATGTCCGAGGGGCGGTTTATGATATATGTCTTACCCTAGGGGCTATTTATGATTTTCATCATTCTTACTCTAAACTTCATTGAATCTCTGTTGAAACTGTTAGAAAGATGTTTTTCAAAGGATTTTTACTAAAATTGGATTTTTACAAGATAATTTGATTTCTACACTATTTTGGAAACATACTGTGGTACTATGACGTGGATTTATGTGTTTTTCTTACTGCTTAGTCTTTATATACTTTTATTACTTACTTAGTTGGCGTACTCACATTACTCCCTGCACCTTGTGTGTAGATCCAGGAGTTACGGGTTGTGATAACGAGCATTGATCCATCATCCGTCGTGGATACCAGGAGTCGGCAAGGTAGTTGTATGGAGATCGCGGCCTTGCTCTTCTCCCTCTTATCTTCCTTAGACTATTTTAGTATTTTCTAGACTGTGATAGTCTTTGTTGTATTCAGACAGTCCTTAGTAGTTGCTCGTGACTTGTGACACCTCGATGTCGGGCTTATATTTCTTTTCCGCACTTGTTATTTAGACTCATGTTATGGGATTCTATTAATTAATAGCTTAAAACGTCTTTATTTTAAAAAATTGGTTTGATTTAGGATTGTGTCAACTGGCCTAATTTCATGATAGGCGCCATCACGACCGGGTCGATTTTGGAGTCATGACAAAGCAGCTCATACATATTGTTAAAGGATTCCATTTTTCCACTAACAGAAATAAATATTTCGTAAACTATAATGAGGAAAAATAGTTTAAAATAATTAGTGGAAATATCATTTAGATAAAAGTCCATGTCTTTATGATATGTGTAAATATGTGCTTATATTATTGTCTTTTCTTTTCTAATTTTAGATTTCTCAATACGTCTTCTACATCACTGCGTGGAATACTTGAGACCAACAAGTTGGTAGGACCAAACTTTGATGATTGGTACGTAAATTTGAGAATTGTTCTCATGCATGAAAAGCTTATTGATGTGATCGATAAACATGCCAAGGAAGTCCCAGATGAGGATGATGATGATGATGCTACCAAGATTTATCAGAAATACTTGGAAGAATGTCTTACTACCAAATGCATCATTCTCGCTTCTATGAGTTCTGAACTACAGAAGAAACATCAGAATATCGATCTAACTGCAATCCTTGAACATCTTAAGAAGATATTTGATACACAAAGTAGGACAGCTAGATACCAGCTATCTAAGGATTTATTTGTATCCAAATTGACTGGAAACTCTCTAGTTGGACACTATGTCAATCATATGATTAATCTTATTGAAGAACTTGAGAAGTTGGGGTGCAAACTGGGTAAAGAGATTTCTCAAGATTTGATCTTACAACCACTATCAGAATCCTTTTCACAATTTGTTATTAATTTCAATATGCATAAAATGGATTGTGATCTTCATGAGATGCTTAACATACTGATTGATTATGAGAATCAAATTGCATCTGAGAAGAAGTAAGGAATTATCATGTTGGTTGGAAACTTTTCTAAGAAGAAAAGTAAGGGTAACAGTAAACCCAAGAAAAAGCCTACTGCACCTAAGGGTGGTGTGACCAAACCCAAAGGCAAAGAAGGAAAAGATGACCAATCTGATGCTGAATATTTCTATTGTAAGAAAATAGGACATTGGAAGAGAAACTACAAGGAGTATCTTGTAAATCTAACGGACAAGAAACAAGGTAAGACTATAATGAAAAATGTTTTCAAGGTTTCTTTACCTACTGACAAGAGGGGTTGCTCTGATGGTAAGCAACCCCCACTTCCAACCGAGAGGTTGTGCGTTCGAGTCTCCCCAAAAGCAAGGTGTAAAGTTCTTGGAGGGAAGGATGCCGGGGGTCTATTTGGAAACAGTCTCTCTACCCTAGGGTAGGGGTAAGGTCTGCGTACACACTACCCTCCCCAGACCCCACTAAGTGGGATTATACTGGGTTGTTGTTGTTGTTGTTGTTGTTGTGTTTCTTTACCTACTACTGATTCTTCATTGTGGGTATTAGATACTAGCAGTGGTTATAACATCTGCAATATGTTGCAGGGGTTCTAGATAAGTAGGAGGTTGGAGAATGAAGAAGTTAATCTATAAGTTGGAAATGGTGCAAAAGTTGCGGCTGTAGCTGTAGGATCAATTTCTTTAATAATGCATATGGGAAAAGTACTTATGTTGGATGATTGTTATTACTTTCCTAAATTTGTTTCGAACATAATTCAGCTTCTATGTTAGACAAACACGGTTTTCGCATTAACATAGGCAATGGTATTTGCTCTATTTATTATGATGATGATTTAAATGTGAATGTCTATCTCCAACATGATGTTTATGTCTTACCTAATGTGAATGCTAATTCGATTATGCATGTTTCTAGTTGTAAGAGGAAAAGTGATAATCAAGTAAATTATACATACCTTTGGCATTGTAGGCTTGGTCATATTGGAGAGAAAAGAATTAACAAGTTGTACAAGAAATGGTACCTTGATAAGGATGATTGTGAATCATATCCAACTTGTGAATCTTGTCTAAAGGAAAAATGACCAAATCTCCATTTACTAGAAGTGGAGAAAGAGCATCTAAATTGTTGGGACTAATTCATACAGATGATTGTGGGCCCATGAAAATTCAAGCTAGAGGTGGATATTCATACTTCATCACCTTCACTGATTATATGTCAAGATATGGATTTGTGTACCTTACGAAACATAAATCTGAATCTTTTGAATTGTTCAAAAGGTTTCGTAGTAAAGTTGAGAAACAAACTGGTAAAAGTATCAAAGTACTAAGGTCTGATAGAGGTGGAAAATATCTTAGTGAAGATTTTACTAGGTATCTCAAAGAGAATGGGATTCTCTCCCAGTGGACACCTCCAGGAACATCACAACACAATGGTGTGCCTGAAAGGAGAAATCGAACCTTATTAGATATGGTGAGATCTATAATAGGTTCACTGATCTTCCAATAAATTTATGGGGATATGCTTTGGAAGCAGCAACATACTTACTTAATAAAGTTTCCACTAAGCCAGTCTCGTTAACACCATATGAGATATGGAAAGGACGTAAGCCTAACCTTAAATACATTAAAGTTTGGGGTTGTCCAGCTTATGTTAATGGTTAATTACATTTTATATGCGTAAAATTGGTCCTTATATTTTTAAAATAATAAATATATATTTTCAATTATTTTAGTACATAAAATTATTTTCCAAAAATTATTTATTATTTATTATAAATTAAATAGGGGAAACTTGGCTATTTAAATTATAGCCAGATTAACATTTCAATTACAGCCTAAATTGAACCCAACCCCAGCCCAATTTTCTACTAAATTGCCCGACCCAAACCCTGAACCCATCTACCCGATCCAACACAAATTAAATCCTGGCCGTTGATCTCCCAGATCAACGACCCGTATTAATCCTTTCCTTTTTTAATTCCAAAGACCCCCTAACCCTACCTCATTTCCAAATCCCACCGCCTTTGTATTATCTCATCTCTCAACCACTCAACCTAACCCTAGATCCTCTCAACCGCCGACCTCCTTCTCCGGTGACCAACCTTCAACTCCTAAGCCTCCAATGGCTCCTCTATTGCCGTGCTCATCTTCTCTGAGGCCTTCAAGGGCCCTGGGTCACGCCGACTTGTATCTAGGGTTTGCTATTTGGCTATTCATGGCTACTCCGGTGTGATTTGGAGCAAAATCACACTGTATTTGTTACGATCTTTGAGTTTCTAAACAAGTTCTTCCATCTCTACTTGGGTTTCTTCTGAAACCCTAATTTTGCTTACATCTCTTAGATCTATACGACTTTTAAACGATTTGAGTTTTTTCCTTTGATATTTTATACTGTTCTTGAATCTCTTTTACAAGAATTATCGATATCAAGTTGTTTTCATCTTCTTCTCAAACTAGGGTTTTCGGAGCTTCTTCTGCACTTTGTTTAAACCAATTCTTTATGTTTAAAACTTCTATCTCTTGCATATTTCGACTGATTCTATGATTTTACTCCCTTTTCCAACTCGCTTATGTTGAAAACCCTAATTTTTTAGTTCCAATCTTGGGTTTCTGACATTTGTTTGATAACGTGTTCAGTTAATCTATATGTTTCTATGATTCTGTGATTTTTGCCCTATGTTTGCTTGTTAGGGTTCCTAATTATGGTTATCCCTGGCTATTGTGTGATTTTGCCCTATTTTGTTCACCAGTGTTCTGATTCTTCACTTCTCCTACCTGTATCATGCTTAGCTTACTAATCCAGACTATGCTATACATGAATCCCTAATTTTATGTATGATTCTTGTCCTACTCAACCTCTTAGGGTTCTGGTTTTGCCTACCATGTGTTTGTTCTTATAAAGTGGTGCTAAATCAGCACTATCTTCTATTTTTGAATCCCTGAATCTTTGTGATTGATCCTTCATTGACTCCGCATGATATCCGAATGATTTTTATGGTCAATTATGCTATTAATTGATCTCTTAAGTCTTTCCTTGATTGAAATATGCTGAACCTAGACTATATTACCTATTGTGTACTTATACTATGCAGCGAATATTTCCTTATTTGTCATGTTCAGCCTTATACGATTTCCTTCCTTATTTGTCATATGTCTATTACCGTTTGAAGTTAACTCCTCAATTAAAGGGAGTACTTACCTTTATTTCCTGACTGACTGATTCTGAGTTCCACAATTACTGATGAACTTTGATTTTTTACCTTATTTGCTACTTGTTTTCAAACTATAAATACCTTAGTCTTTCATTAACACAAAGACACGAATACTCTTGGTTCAAAACTCTCTCTGTCACGACCCAGATTTCCCACCCTTGAAAGTCGTGATGGCACCTACTCGTGAAAGCTAGGCAAGCCGAGTATTATAGATTCACTAACTCTTTTATTTAGCCCTTTTTAACAGTTTAAATAAACATACGATCAACAGTGAAATATTATCAATAATTAAATACATGATGAAGACATAATCTGATAACTTAGCCAAAAACAAGTATGACAATATCAAGGAGATCTCTACCCGGAACCGGTGTCACAAAATCATGGACCGTCTACGAATACTACATACAATTGTCTGGAAAGAAAGATACAATCTGTCTCTGAAGTAAATGAAAACAGAATATAAAGATAAAAGAGAACGCCAGGACCTGCGGACGCCTGCAGGACTACCTCGGGATCTCTGACTGGACTGAAGGCAGCCACCCAAAACTATGGTCCAAAAGCTACCGCTCTGGGATCTGCACACACTACAGAGTGTAGTATCTGCACAACCGACCCCATGTGTTGGTAAGTGACTGGCCTAACCCCGACGAAGAAATGACGAGGCTAGGACCAGACTACCAAATAAACATGTGGAGTTATATCATATACAACGAATAATAAACAGAAATAGACAATTGAAGATAATTGGGGAGGGGGGGACATGCTGCAGGGAATATCATTTACCAACAGTAATTTAAGAGAAAAGCATAAAGAACTATCTAAAATTCACAACAAAAGAATAAGGAAATCGTTATCAGTCAATAAACACTTTTATTATCTATTGTTCCGGCGTGCAACCCGATCCATATCATTTATCACTGTTGCGGTGTACAACCCGATCCAAATATATTATTGTTACGGCGTGCAACCCGATCCAAATATAATATTACTGCGGCATGCAATCCGATCCACATACACAGTTCAACACCAATCACAAAGAGAGTCCCGGCAAGGGATCAATAAAGAACAACACTATCCCGACAAGGGAATCGACAGTATGAGCAAAAACGTCCCAGCAAGGGAAAATCAGCTGTAACCAAACTTGTTCTAACATCTAACTTCCTCAACTATCACTAAAACTGAATCTTAAGTAATTTCCACGAGAATAATCATAATCCTTGTTCAACATAGAGAATCAACAATTTATGTATTCATAGTATTTATTAAGAACCCAACAATTTCAATTTAAGACTCACGGTCATGTTTGACACCAACGTATATATACTCGTCACCATGCCTATACGTCGTACTCAACAAGTAACATGTAGCAAATAGGACACAACTCCTAATCCCTCAAGCTAAGGTTAGACAAACACTTACCTCGAACTTCCACGGCCAACTCAAGCCTCTCAAACACCGCTTTTCCTTTAGAATTCGCCTCCAAACAACTCGTATCTAGTCCAAATTGATTTAACAACATCAATAAATGCTAAAGAATTCATACCCAATGCTTAATTATAGGTTTTCTATCATTTTCCCCAAAAAGTCATTGATCCCGGGCTCGCTTGGTCAAAACACGAGGTTCGGACTAAAACCCAATCACCCATTCACCCACAAGCCCGAATATGTTATTAGTTTCGAAATCCGACCCCAAAACGAGGTCTAAATTTCAATTATTCAAAAAGCCCTAACTCTACCCAAATTCCCAATTTTCTACCATTTAAACCCTAGGATTTTAGATAAAAGTTGATGAAAAACATT